GCGGACCTTGTTAACCCGGGCGACGTCCGAGCCGGTATCACACTTTGATCTGGTTACTACCATTATGATTATCTCCACAGAATGTGGGTGTGTGGTCACTCTTAGCTTCATTTCTCCCCATAGACCTTACTGGCATGGGTGTCCCTACCAGGAGCTTGTGCTCCAGCCTGCATTGCCCTATGGTTCAGTAAAATTACTGGGCTCTCCCACCACGACCAGGTGGTGACCACGGAAGAGTTATTATTATTATTATTATTATTATTATTATCCAATAGGGCAGAGTCATCTAGATTACTTACGTTACTCCTACCCAAGTCTCCCTAGTCGCTAACTGTAACTGATTTAGAACCAGCATGCACTGCAAATTATTCTTCATTGCAAAATGATATACGCACGCGTCAGGAACTTCTGTTCGAACAAACCTCACCTGCCGTCAGGGTCGGCGATTTTAAAAAGGTGGCAACCCTAGCACGGAATTTTTCATTACTTATTCTGTGACGAAACTGAATTTTAGTCTTTTAAATTGAGATACCTAAATAAGGGGTGCGGCGAAATTTTCCTCCGCCGCCTCCGCTACGCCACTGATGGTGCTGGATATATGCGATTTGGAATTTAATAGAGCTTTTAGAACAGACTGAGAATCACTGTAAATGTTGATAGACAGTTTTGTTTGGTAGTGAAGTGGCCCACTGAACAGCTTGGTAGTCAGCATCATCTTCAGCTTGATAGATGGAGATATGTGGGAAGTGTCTGTACCTTCTAACACATTTTGGACAAAATATGTCAGTTTGGAGGAAGATACAGACACTTGAGCCAACACGAAAGGAGCTTTTAGACCCATCTGTGTAGATATTAATGTCTGCATGATTATCCATGGAGGAAGCAGATGATACCAAATAATCTTGTTTACAGGTTGATGATCACAGATAGTAGGGTAATTGCAATGACTTAGTTGACTTATTTTGATGCAGCAGATGATGATCGATGGTTCCCGTATTCGAAACAGATTGCTCGAAAAAAAATTTGAGCCTTCTGGGACTAGAACACGATCTTTACCGCCTCCGCTATTACCACGTGCTATTCAACATATTTTCTTGAATAAATCAACAAAACATTTTTATAAAAAGCGAAGGAGTGTCGCTTTGTGTCACTACGGATCATACTTGATGATTAGGCCTAATTAGTCTAGTATTAGTAATTAAGGCTGAAACTGAGAACGTGCCCGATCCCCTTTTTCTGATGCTTTAGGGTGGGTGGCTCAGCCCCTTTGTCATCTCCATCCCAAAACCCGATAAACAAAATTAAATGTAGAATTTAATCATCTAACTTGTTTGCAAATGTTTTGTAACGATATATATAGTGGAGTGAGGTGGAGTACACTCCACCATTTTCGTTATTTCCCATCTTAAACTCGAAAAACATGACCAATAAAAGCGTGTTTTAAATTATATTTTTAAATGTTTTTTTTTAAATTATATTAACATGATTTTTATTCGGTTTAACCAACTTGATAATAAAACTCTCCAAGTTTTAAATTATCTTATGTTTCTATAGTTAATCTTTATGATTCAGTGTTTTTCTCCTCCGTATTTTTAAAAAGTTGTAGACCTGTTGCTTCCTAAATGTTTATCACTTCGCTAGACATTTCTGATAATTCGAATTAGCAAGGGTAGGATACAGAGACATAAAACTGAAAATATCAATATAAAAAAAAAAACGAAATTCTTTCAATTTTAAAATACTTTCTTGTATTCTCGATGTAAATATCCATAATATATATGAAAATCTATATTTCTCGTTTATAAATTTGCGATTTGGTGTACTTAAGTTAATCTTGGAGATTGTTGATATTGTATTTCATTTATTATTAATATTTTCAAGAAAATATTAATAATAACGATTTTTTAGCGATTCTGGAATGATTTCTAATTGTAATTAAAATCAATATATTTGAAATATAAAATAAATAAGTTAATATAACTAATTTTTAAAGTTAATCAATTTTTAGTGTTTTATGGCAATATCAAGTAAATAGAACTATCGGTTACAGCTCTACTCGGGATATAAAGTGGAGATAATAGAAAATTAATAGAAATTTAACATTGAAAATGTTAAATATTTATGTACAACAACTAGAAATTCATTTCGTACTTATCCATATGATCAAACAAGCGATGAGAATAAAAAATGAACTTGAAAGTTTGCAAATTATATCATCTTTATTAGAGACAATAATCACTGTAAACAAAAATATCAAGTATCAACGTTATTAAGATGGTAACATTACAGTAGGCAAGTAACGTGATCCAACGACCAATTTTCTTCATCATGTAAAAGAACTGATCGGCGACGAGGAACCTTTTTCCGACGATGGGTCAAAATTGAATTCGAAATATAGTAACGCGGATCAAATATTTGAGTAATTACAAAAATAAAATAAAATTTGTAAGCACACTTTATTATTAAACTTTTATTCTATATCGGAAAGATAAATTCTGTGTAAATGAAAAAAATAACAACGTGAATATAACGGAATCAAATATTTGTTTAATGGGAAATCTGCCGCTGTTTGATATAACTTTCCTATCTAAATTTCGTGATTAGTATCCTTGAAGATTTTGTACCACAGCTTTAGGACCTGATTTCACACAAATATTTGATGGATTTTAAAACTCAGCATAATTTATAAAAACCTAAATACCGTATTTCCTAAACATATTTAAATACCAATTCCTTGAAATCGTGGCGCGAGTAACGGGTTCGCCATCATTGATTATATTAATAATAGCCTACATAATCACAATCATCAATTGAAACTAATGCTAAAATAATTTGAATGAATTATAATTGAAAAATGAAATATCTGAATTTCGTACTCAAATCCTTTTAATACCTTAAAAATACTGTGTAAATTCTAGTAGATTATTAGAATTACAAATTCTATATCCTTTTTAAAATCATTTTTACAAAGCTATTTTTTTGTAATTGTAAAAATACTTACTGCTTGTATTATATGAATAAAACATATATCGCATTCTCTGATCATTCTGTATCTTCTCCAGAAAATTTCTGGATTTAGACAGAAAAGTTCTTTGCGGATAGATTAATAAGAAATTTTCAGCGCTTATGAAAGAATATTTTTGTTGTTATAATATATAACAGCGGTTTCCAACCGTTTCTGCAGTAGGCTATTCCTTCCCCATCGGGACTCCCATGCAATGGCGCCTCTCCCCAGCAAACGCACAAATGTTTATTGTTCTGATTCAGTATTTATTTTCTTTTATTACAAATTAAATAATACCAATAAGGTTTGATTGAAAACACGAAGAAAAATACAATTCGATTACTAAAAATACAGATAGATATATCTACAGCACTTTGCACAAATAAAATGGATAATGTCTGTGCAACCAGGAATTTATTCCTTCTGAATAAAGTTATAATAATGTAAATTAACACTAACGAGATTCGAAACGGTAACCTCGAAGTATAAAATTGGCCCACCACCACCACCAAACCACTGGCCACTCTTTAAATAATAGATGTTTTAAAGGTTTTAAGTAATTGTGCAATTTTCAACTTTAATTTTCTCATTTTGAGTATGGCGTCTTGCTTCTTGGCACATGTCAGCCATTGGGGATGCACTATCTCCTCATCGAGTTTGATTAAAATCGGTGAACCCAACGTCATGCCGTCTCGTCGTCAGTCATATACTGAATAGCATTGTACTCATTAGCTCGCGCCTCGCCGGTTGGAATCACTGCTATACAATATTTGATTTTCGAATAGTTACTGTATTTTAAAATTAACATCTAAATAAAATGTTATATATTCAAAGGAAAAATTATTAATCGAACGAACGACATTCCAAAATCTACTTATCTTTTTAAATAATTTTATTAATAATTTACAAATGCGAATATAAAAAATTTCCTGTATATTGATTTAAAAATGTAAATTATATTAATATTTCTATACTGATAGTACGCGTAGTTATTTTTTTTGTTAATAAAGTATTAAACAAAATAATAAAAAAAAAAGTTATTTTTAAAATTCTTCTCTGTATTTAGGTTAATTACAATTTAAATTCTTCCGTTCCGTTTATAATCGCGAGCATTAAAAAGCCACGTGATGAAAGAATGTGTTTTTAACACGTGTTAAATAATAGACGATGTTTGAAATCTTTTTGGTCGAATGTCTATTATTGTCTGCTGTACGTACGAATTAACACGTCTACCGACACAGCATTGAGAAATGCTTCCTCTCTCGATCTTTCTCCTGTTGCCATAGTGACAATGCAGTCGGAATATAGAATTAAATGCAGACGTCGATGACTAATATTTGCTTCTCGTTCATTCGTAAAGTATCAATTTATACGACTCGTTCCATTAAAACATTTATTTTTAGAATTTATATTTAGGATTTCCATTCACTTTAACCAGAATACACATTAAATTGAGGCTAGAGACGATCGATTCACCGTCAGTATCCGTTAGATAAAAGATTACAGACTAATTTTATTATTTACGTAACGTAATAACAGAAGCTGAACGATTCGGTTATATTCTAGACTGTAACGATTTTTAATGCCCGGTTATTGGCATTAATTCGGTAATTTCGGGTTCCTTCTTCGGACATAGCCCGCCATCTGTTGGTCAAAAATATAAATTGAAACCAGCATATCCAAAACTTGATTTCTTTAAGTTTATTTTGCATAAATAATTTTTTCATGTTTTTTTCCATTTAGGTTTCCGTTTCTTTCCTAAATTTATGAATTTCGATTTTTCGTGCGGATCGGAATAATGTTTTTTTTGACTCCCAAAAACGTCGAAATGTAGAGACTGTCGAAAATCGAATGGTATTGATTCGGTGTGCGTTTCAAATACAGGATGGTCAGGCGGGTTATCGGAGTGAACCGGAGATGCTACATGTCCAAATGTAATCATTGTTGGTTTTTCGATTAAGGAAGTTGGTCTTTTGTTTGGTCGGTGACCAACAAAGATGGGAACAGGACGAGAAACAAAGTCATATCCGTAAGGATCGTTGTAACTTAACCTAGTAGTAGGACTTCGTATTGGTGGCGTAGGGGGAATTTTCCTCAATTGTGACACCTAAAAAATTAAATAAAATCGAAGATAATTTAAGTATTTATAATAAATAATAATCAGTAACACTCTGCTAATTATTATTATTATTATTTATTTATTTATTCGTTTCTTACGTTGACGATCCTAAATGCTTATTAAGTGATGAACTTACAATAAGAGCATTCGACAAAGATGCTTGAAATATATTTGCATAGTAACCGATTATTTCATTATAAATCAAGACGGGAGTTATTTTATTAATCGCCTATGCTATTGTTTAGTAGGCCTAACTCGAAACGTTTTCCTTATTTGATCGTCGTATCTGAGATGATTCTAGACAGCCTTAGCTTATGTATTAATCATGTATTTAATTTTAAAATAAACATAGCATTAAAGGCCAAAATAAAATATTTAATGCTTGATTGTTCGTTTCACCTATCATTTTAAAGAAAGTTTCTGTTTAAATTATATAATTCGTTAATCGTTTTATATCGGGCTCTCTCTAACTTCGAATGCATTCATAAGATGATTGAAAATAAATAAAGAAGACCGTCTGTTATTTTTTGGATTCTTGATTTTATTAGAATTGAAATATCTACAGTATTTTGCAAATTATAAATATTTCTTGATTCTTAAACATATTTCTTATATAATGACACGACAAATTTTTATTAAATTAAAGATAAAGTCTGATATATTACTAATATAAATCTAATGATATTTCATTCTAAAATTATAAACAAAAAACAACACTATTACTTTATTTGAAAATTTTTGTCAACAACGGATTTACCATGAATTTGAATAGTGTCATAATGATTAACTTTTTAAAACTTGATTATAGTAAAAATTGTAAATTTATTTCAGAAGCTGCACGCTAGGTTAATTAAGCATGGTGCCGACGTTTAACGACGTTTCAACACTGCCGACCCTAGCAAACTCGGCGCCCTAGGCAAATGACTTTGACGTCGCTCCATTTAAAAAAATTCGCAACAATATAAAACACCAATGTAAAATAGAGTATCTATTTTACGTTGGTGTTTTATATTGTTATATTGTTTTTATTCAATATGCAGCATGCAATATCGCGATCGTGAGACTACAGTGCTACTTTCAAAATGGCAACTCTCTGGTCAACACGTGAGAAAGGATTGTGATCAAAAAACATTTATTTTTTTCATTATTTATTATAATTTATGCATGTACTTTTGCCATGCCGCACCCTGAAGTCAAGCGCCCTAGGCCATCGCCTAGTTCGCCTATATGAACCTGCCTGCTATATAGCCCTGCGTTTCAAAGATTTAAAATGTAAAAAAGTTAATAAAATATAAACGCAACAATAAGCATTTTTTTTAAAGAGGAGACGTGCACATTCGTTTTAATATAATTATACTTCTACAATATTTATTTTCACACAAAACAACTTTTAAACTATTAATAATTAAAATTCAAAATCGAAATTAGGGTTTTAAACTTTTTTTTTTCTTTTTTTAAAGATTTACTTATAAATGAAAATTTTTTAAAGCAACGAATAAATAAATTTTAGGGCAGAGTTCCAAAGTAATACGAGTTTCTTTTCTTACAAATATACCTATAAATACAATAAAAATAAGAACAAAATTGAGCTTTTTGATACGTGAAGTTTTCAATGTTTTCAAAAAATTTTGTTTACGAATACACATAAGCAAATGCATACATACATATATACAGTATATACATGGGTCTGTAAACTATTTGTGATTTTAAAGAAGTTTGTAGATTTCAGTAGTTTGGAAACCACTTCTCTAACCTCCAGAGAAATTCGGAAGTTTGGAAATTTGCATAGGGGCGTCACTGTTAGTATTATAGTTACCTTAGCATAACTTTAGGGAACAGTAATACAGTATACTCGTGTAAATAAAATATGTATTTTTTAATGAAATATGAAAAATGTAGTCTGCTAATTTTTAAAAATATCCAGCAACGAGTTGTGTAATTTTCCCGGCGAAAAACACGAAGACACGTTAGCACAAGTTAAACTTGTGTGTGGCGCAATCTGTTACAAGATTTTATTTTAACATTTAAATAGGGACCAGTTTCCCACAGAAAGTCCACCCGTAAAGGATCCCATCCCTTGGCTGTCGCCCATATATTACGTCACCTTATCCTATCAATCCAATTCAGCCCAATCTTCTTTCCCACTTTAAAGTTATATTTTCTTATATGGTCTATTCTTACTCTTATTCCATTTTGAAAATAAACATGGCGGAGAAGACAGTATGAGATACTATTGTGATCAAAAAGTATCGGGAATGGTTCATTTAAACTGAGCGTGTTCAAGAGAGCACTGTCATTTTTCCCCTTTTTGTTTTTTTCTTGGTATTTGGTACGACTTTCATCGACATCTAGTAGCAATCCATACGTCATCGTCCGTTTTCGTTTGCAAATAAACGCTTGTTTTGTGTGTAAATAATTTTTGCGCCAGCAATTTTTCAAAATGTCGAGTGTAATTGAGCAAAGAACGTGTATTAAATTTTGTTTTCGTAACGAAATTACTGCTACAAAAACGTTGAAAATGTTGCAAAAAGCCTTCGGTGACCATAGTCTATCACAGTAGCGTGCCGTCGTTAGAAGCGGTGGAAGCGCCGCTTCCCTTGTATTTTATAAAAAATAAATACATATTAATTTTAATTATACGAAAATAATCGCACAATATTTTATTATAACCGCATTACGTATCTTATTACAAATTTCTATACTACACGTGAAAAAAAAATAAGATTGCTATTGTATATTCGAATATTAGCGGCGGAGTGGAATCTCTGTATTGTCAGATTCCAAAAAGCTAGTGCTGTGCGATGCATCGATGTGACATCGACACATCGATGTTTTTGTTCGTCGATGCATCGACCTTCCGATGTTTTTGAAACATCGATCCTGAATCGATGTTAGCAATATGTGAATTTTGATTCATCGATGCATGCAGTTCATTCTTTGTTCTTAGTGTTACTACCTGTTCGGTTTTCACCTGAACAGTCCGGGAATTTCGTAGAAATTGTGAAATTGCGATGAAACAAAGTTCTTGCAAATATGTTTACAAATTTACACTATTTTAACAGTGAATGAACTCACACTCATTGAAACTCATACGCAACTCTGCCATGTTAGTCTGTTTACGCCGACTTGTGGCGCGCAACCTGTCGACTTTGAGGCCGGATGACCGAACGGTCAAGGTGGCAGCCTACCGCTCTGGGGGACCCGGGATCGAATGCGGACGGGTCAACGAATCCCCAGGAATTTTTCGGAATTATGGGTTCGGTCGCCCCATTGTGGGCCTGGCCGAACCCATAATGGGCCTGCTATAAAAGGCCCTCTTAGTGCCCACAGGGCAGAAATAGTAAAAAAAAAACCCTGTCGACTTTTTTTTGCATGTACGATCGTACACGTATCAAATAGAGCTAAGTTATCTGTACCTGTTCTTTCTTAATTTACGTTACTTACGTTACTCCTACGCAAGTCCCTAGTCCCTAACTGTAACTGATTTAGAACCGGCATGCACGTTGTAAAATAACATTGCGCATGCGTCAGGAACTTCTGTTCAAACAAACCTGTTTTTTTTTTTTAAATTGTTTGAGTTTATCTTGATTGAACATCGATGTTCCAATGGGCATCGATTAAACATCGATGTGAAATCCGACATCGAAATTTAGCATCGATGCTTAGGCAAACATCGATGTTTGACATCGGTATTAAAATTACAGACATCGCACAGCACTGCAAAAAGCCAGATTTGCGCATGCGCTTTACAGAGCATCAACCTCACCCGGTTTAGCCTGTGGAAACCTACGACCTTGGGTTGATGCTACACACATAACGCTTCCAATTCTATCCGGGACCGGTTCTGGGCTGTTAGCCGCCCGCCCTCTAGATATTTGGCCGATTACGTGAATAACGAGTAGATTTATAACTTAACCTAACCGATAAGAATTTACTGGTGTTTTTACGATAGTTCTGTATAGTTGAGGGGAGTTTAAAAAAATCCATAAAAATATTTGATATATTTATTCCGCTCTCCGATTTTATATTACTCGCGGATTTCGATGTTAAACCGGCGATATTACGATTTCGTATGTCCCATCATTAATTAAGGGGATGTAGGAAAAAACGTGTACAATTCTTGTATAATGTTAAAAAATTAACCGTTACTCCGATAGCGTCATTTACAACTAAATTTAATGAATGAGAGAGATGCGCGAGGTACTGTACAGAAAAAGCTCTAGAATTTATTTTCCTTAAATTTAAGATTTATGTATCCGTCTGTCATAAAAATTTGTCTTTCCACTTTTTTTCCGAGACTACAAGTATTCGAGTACAAAGTAACCGGTTTCGACTTATTTCTACTTAAGAAGTAGTTAAATAATTAAGCGATTAGGGGATTGGGGACGTAAACAAAACCCTGACGAAAAAGCCGGAACATTACTTAAACAAAAGCTTAACCGAACTAATCTATAGCCGAGTACAGTGGGGACTGATTTCTTCGAAATACTGTATTAGATGTAATAAAGACAGAAATTTTTCCAGTTCGACGAGAGTGACCGAAGAGTTGTAAATTTTGGAAATTTCCGTGGACAATACCTGGTCCTAAAACGAATTAGTTAGAAAACAAAAGACGGACAATCTATTAAGTTTAACGTACTGTATTTAGATTTTTACAGCTATGACGAGAAACGTTTAAAATTTACAACAACCCTGTCGCGTCCTTTGAGATATACTAGTGATACGACAAAAGAGGTATTTGAAATTGACCGGTATCGGCACCCTCGGGATTTGGCACGCATGCACGCACCGCACATCTACCAAGATCGTCTCTGATTCCATCCACGAGTCACTGATAGAGAGCACTTTTAACTAAGCGGATTGTTTTAATATTTAAAAAGTAAAGAATATCTTATGCTATTTTTATGTACGTTTCTTCACAAAACTATATTCATACAATTGAATATTTTGTACCAGGTATGTATAATTGTATATCGATCACACATGTT